CTACCTATATTGGATTTGTGGATGTAAACTCAAACACTGCCAACAGTTGTTCTTAGCCTTGCTTCCTTTTCTTTTCTTAGTTGGATACAATAAACAGCAAGAGAGAGAAACAAAATCAAGAAATTATGTTTTCAAGAAAGTTCTCATACTTTCTAGTTGAGAAATTTAGATATGAGGAGTTTGAATTAATATTGGTAAATATTTACATTCCTCCAAACACATCCCTGTATTATAACTCTGACTATTGGATATGTTTAGAAGTTATACTAGATGATATATCCATACTGTATCTTCAAGCCATAATTATATTGCTTGGAGATTTTAATGCTAAATTAGGTCCATCTTTGTGTGAGTTTGCTCAAAAGAAAGGATTCCCAAAGGAATTTCTTGACAATCATCCTCAGTGGTTTTCTAAAGTCACCAAAAGTAATATTGCTGGTCTGTTCCTAGTCTCTTCAATTTTTAAAGGTAATCTTCAAATCCTGGAAGATAAGCATAATAATTACATATACCCTTACACTTGCCACTCAATCCACTCAAGTAGCATGCTAGATATCTTCTGTGTTTCAAGATATAAAGTTGACCTCTTTTCAGAGGTTACTGTACATTTAGGTGATGAAAGTGATCATCAGCCTGTGAGCTTGACATTACAAGGTGTTCAGATTTAAGATCATATAACATGGCTGACAGATGGCTCACTAAAAACTTAAAGGTGATCCGACAGTCTTAAAACAGAGAATGATGTTAATTGGGCTATAACAATCTACCGTGTTTCTCACATAATAAGGCCGGGCCTTATTTTTTTTTGAGCCCCGAAAAAACGGCTAGGCCGTCTTTTCGGGGGGTAACTTAATTTCCCCCCTTTCATCCTCATCTAGAGCCCCCCGCGGGCAGCCTCGCCACCAGCTGCTCCTAAGGGGCGATCATGGCGAAGCGCAGAGAGCTCCCTACTCCCACCAAACATTTTTGCTGCAGACCCAAGACCTTTGGCACCTGCCTCTGTTGCTTTCCCTTCTGCCCATTCCACTGCCGTTTGGAGTGCCGTTGGAGCTGCTGCCGCCGTTTGGAGCTGCCTCTGCCGTTTGGAGCTGCCTCTGCCGTTTGGAGCCGCCGCCGCCGTTTGAAGCTGCCGCTTCCGCGTTTGGAGCACTACCGCTGTTTGAAGCACCACCGCCACTCCAAACACGGAAGCGGCAGCTCCAAACGTGACGGCGGCACTCCAAACGGCGGCGGCGGCTCCAAACGGCAGAGGCAGCTCCAAACACGGAAGCGGAGCCACCGCCGCCATTTGGAGCTGCCGCCGCTGTTTGGAGTACCATTGGAGCTGCCTCTGCCGTTTGGAGCTGCCTCTGCCGTTTGGAGCTGCTGCCGCCGTTTGGAGCCACCGCCGCCGTTTGAAGCTGCCGCTTCCGCGTTTGGAGCACTATCGCTGTTTGGAGCACCACCGCCACTCCAAACACGGCGGCAGCTCCAAACACGGAAGCAGCAGCTCCAAACGTGACGGCGGCACTCCAAACGGTGCCGGCGGCTCCAAACGGCAGAGGCAGCTCCAAACACGGAAGCGG